ACTCCCGAAACAAAATTGAGTTGGGCTGAAGGACATTCAGCCTTTCACAGGGAGCTTTGTATTTTCTGAATGAACACACAGCTTTCTCTGGTTGAGGCCAAGAGCTGTATATTGTATATAGCTGAGGCTACCTACAGTTTACAAAGCGCACAGCCGCTGCAGCTGTTATTGAAGTAAATAGTTCATTTGGACTAGCTTGGTCCAAGCAAACTATTTACAGGTCAATGAAATCTGGAGATCAGCTTTAGGCGCATTCCCTATTGTTAGTGCAACTGCTAATTATCACCTTCTATGCAATTTTCCTTTTATCTACTACCCTACATTATTTTATATACTAACTTCCTTGCTTCCCTCCTTCCTCTTTTCTTCCCTTTACTTCCATCCCTTTTCCTATTGCTTCCGGTATTAGACAACTATAAAAGTTATATATACATGCTGAACTACCTCTCTTTCATATTTCATTACTGTTGGAATTATTATGAATTATGGCACTTGTACTACAAGAGAAGAGGGCTTACATTCAATTTAGTTATCTAACAGAATCTATCTGTATAATTTGAAACCATGCTTTACCTGCATTTAAATTTATCCTCACTTGTGTTGTATGTAGTAAACATTACATGGACTGATATATAGGATAAGTGCTATGCTATTAACTGGAGTTTGCGGAAAAGCAAATTTTATTATGTTTTGTCATTATTAAATCTTACAAACTGCTACTTAACAGGTACTGCTTGTAACAGTTAATGGGACTCCAGTTGATTACCATTCGATAAATACATCACTTCCTATAGAGAATGGGCCAACTAAAATAGATATGTACTCCACACCACAATACAAATGGGAACACAATGATGAAATCTCAGGTAACAGCTTTTTTCCAGCTCATTGTGTAGTGACTTGTGTTGATGTATGTTTGATGTAGATAAAGGTGTTGAAATATCTAGTGTTCACTAGATATATTGTGTTGTTAAGCAGAATTGCTTTTAGTTCTTGTTAAAGAAAAAGACTCCATAACATGTTTTATTAATGTGATCCTGTACTACTTTACAATAGGCAAATGAAAATTAACCTAATCCAAGTACTGTATATACTTCCTACCTTCCTAGCATTATATACCTCCCCAATGCTCTGCTGTAGTCACGCAAAAGTTCCATGGACGTTTTGCCTATGTGACAGTGATCAGAGCTGGCAATAGATCTCTCAGGCAATGAGCACTATATTGTGGAGGGTGGGGAATTATATTCATTTATGCCCCATAACCAAAGTTTTAGTTTTTTGGGGGGATCCAGGGCTACAGTGGGAAGGTGCTGTGAAAGTAGAATGTGATGCCTTATGGAGTCCCCTGTGTAAGTGCTGCATTTTCTCTTAAAGTGGTTGTAAAGGCTTAAGGTTTTTTATGTTCATGCATTCTATGCATGAAGGTAAAAAAACTTCTATATGCAGAAGATCCCCCCTCCCCAAATACCTACCTGAGCCCCATCGCGATCCGGTGATGTGCACAAGAACTTGACTGCCCAGGGACTCGCAATCATAGCCAGTGACCCAATAAGGATAGAGAGGGGGCGGGACCAAGTTGCGGCTCTGTGTGTCAATTATTTATAATAAGCACAGTTTCCTGTGACACGTGTCAGCATACTGCTACTTTGTATCCCTATGCTGTCCTTTTGAAGAATTGATGGAATAAATAGTTGAATGGTTCTACAGTGGTGTGCAGCCATTCCTTTTCATTATCACAGTATTGCGGTGGCAAGCTGTGGTGGGTACCCGCATGTAAGGCTGTCTTACTAGCAGTATGGGCCCCTGGGCAAAGTATTGCATTGGGCCTCTACCAGCCTCATGCAATTTACGCACCTACTCAGAAGAATTAAATATAAATGGTTGATAGAATTAAACATATGTTTATTAGTACTTTCATTAAAATTGATATTAAACTATAAGAAAACCTGCCATAAATCAAAGACTAATCAACACAAAGGGCACAGTACAGCAGGAAGGGGGGGGGTTGTAGGCAGAAGGGCACAGTATAGGGGGAGTCAGGAAGGCACAATGCTAGGATCAGGAGGGCATAGCTGCCTATGCCATCCTGGGACAGTTTAGTAAAAAACAAGGCTGTCCCAGCAAATCCGGGACAGTTGGGAAGTATGATGTGATGCAAGATTATTATGGGGCCCCTATGCACTTGGAGCCCCTGGGCAGTGTCCAGTGGTGCCCATACATTAGGACAGCCCTGCCTGCATGATCTCTGCAAGGCTGACGACGTTCCACCTAGAGTGGTGTTTCATTCTATGTTGGATGTGTAAATGTACACACAAAGCAATGGCTCAGGAACGAATCTGCTCAGGTGCCCCCATAGCAAGCTGCTTGCTCTGGGGGAACATGGCAGGAGGAGGGGCCAGGAGCACGGATGGGGAACCTGAGAAAAGGAGGATCAATTCTGCTCTTTTCAAAACCATAGAAAGTAAGTATGAAATCTTTGTTATTTTAAACAATGCCATTAATATAACCATAAGATAGCAATACAGTGTTGCTTTAACCTAGTTGATTTCCAAACCATTTTTCCCTCTTTTATCCTCAGGACCAGAATGCGTTGGTTTTTGTTGGTTAATTAGCTCACAACACTAAAATAAATTCAATTTGGGTTTGTGAGGATAGGATCTTGTACTATGCCCCAGAGTGCTTGGTGTTCACATAAGCGAGTTAACTTAAAAGAGTCACATGCTCTCTTATCATAGTTAATATTGTAAAGTATTTTCAGTTTAAATATGCAAAATCATCTAAAAGGGAAAGGAAAAAAAATAGTATTATTTACAACAGGTACTGTAAATAGATGATCAAAGTGAACAAAGCTGAACCAGACTCACTAAGTGCGTGAACACTAAGGCCCCATGCACTTTTCTAAATGCCTTTCTCCTGGCAGGAGAAAAGCAGTGTAAAAAATGCTCCTAAAACTGTCTTGGGCGTTCATTCATTATATTGGCCAAAATATTAATTTACTCTGGCCTTTGAAATGAATGAATGCTCAAGTGGTTGGCATGCCTAGCGTTAACACGCATTTAGATGCATTTATGCACATTAGGCATTTTTATAGGCAAAATGCTGCTCTCCTGAACACGCTGGCTCTGGATTTTTTTTTCTGCCTCTAAACACTCCTTCCTCTAAAAGCTTGTAAAATGCCTATGTGTGCATGGATACGTATGCTAACATGGAGGGGTGTTCAGAGGCAGAAAAAGAAAATTAAACGCCCTTAAAAAAATGGCGTTTTTTTATTCCCAGTGTGAATGAGGTCTTACTTTTCAAAGTACCACTTTAGTAAATGCAAATATCATCCTTAGAGCCTCTGTTAGGATCTGGAGGTTCGGGTGGGAGAGTGGGGGGATGGTGTTTATAGTTCCATATTGGATAAGCCTGCATGATCTCTTTCATTACCCTTATCTTATGCTTTCTCTTGCTGATTAAGTTTATAAACAATAAAAATGTATGTAGTACTCAGCATGTGTACTATGAAGAAGAATTAGTAACATGTGTTCCATTAGAAAAGAAAGAAGAGGAAGAAGAAGAGATAGAGGCGGAAGTTTCTGAGAAAAAAGAAAGTACCAAGGTTCACGCCATGGTTGTTGCATTACAGTTCATCATGAAGCAAAGCTATATATGTGCTCTCATTTCTATGATGGTAAGCTGTAATAACACAAACTGCAATTCCATGTACCTATAATAAACTAAGGTAGATTGCATAAACTGAATTTCTCCATTTTAATTGAGTGAGCAAACTTTACAGTTTTGTGCCTTGGCTAAATGTTGTTTGTGATAAAATGCTGCGCCAGCCATATCAAAGGTTCAGCTTTGGTATCCTGGAACTAGAATGTAGCTGAAAAGTCAGAAAATGGTTTCTTCTTTTAGAAACGCTCAGGTATATACTTTCCAAAATGGTATATTTCCTTTAAAGAGCAAGTTCAGCTTTATAATATCTATCTATAACAAACACAGTATTTATTGTATATTTTTATATATGTTCTGGTATATTTACTTAGCTTTCCTCCAATTTTCTTATAAACTTTCTATGTGGCTATGGTACTTTGTCCCAGCTACCAGGAGTAACTGTCAACACATGGTACCCCTTTTGTGATTAAGATCAAACAAATGTAACTATTACTGACATAGAAAAGCACAGTGCAACGCTCTAAACCCAAAGAGAGAAGCAGAACATAGGATTTTATTTTTTTTAATCCATCCACCCACATGATAACTGGACCAGTGTTAGTAAGTACCATTTATTATTGCAGCCACATAAGAGCTTTAGGCAAAATTGCCAATGAAAGCATTTATACATTTATTTAAAAATGTATTTATTAAACTGGTGTAAGTACTTAAATTCCTCTTGATTTTAGCCTTCCGTAAACCATTATTCAATAGTAATCAGAAAAGGAAGGGAAACCAGTATTAAGCCAATGAGACTATGCTGGAAGCATTTGTACTGACAGGAGTAGAGAGCAGAGTGTGCAAGTGCATTATCATTGTACTGCTACTCCATCATTGTCCATTCAGGAAGCTGGAGTGTGTTATGACCAGTGTTCTGAACCAAACTGTGGAGGTCAAAAGCCTGGTAGTATTGTGTGTGACATGGAGGGACTGCCTGCTGTGCAAAATTAGAAATACTTTGCTTATTATTTCCATAAATGTGATTTTTCACTATTGTCAACAACCACCTCCTTGCTGGAGTCCTGCAGAACTCAAGCAAATAATGTCGTTGATCTCCACCCTTATATTTATTTGTTATTTTTTTATGTGTTTAATTTGTAAATTGCATTTTTATATTCTTTGGTCCTCATTTGGTCCTGCAAATAAAAAAAAATCCTTAGTAAATTATGTATTTTAATTTATTGGTATGCAATATGTTTACAAGGTCTGAAAACTATCTGGTCTCCTTTTAGGCATGGAGCATCACGTACCACAGTTGGTTAACTTTTGTGTTGCTAATTTGGTCATGTGCCCTTTGGATGATTCGTGATAGGAGGAAATATGCCATGATTAGTTCACCCTTTATGGTCGTCTATGGCAATATATTATTAACTTTACAGTATATATGGAGCATAGAGTTGCATCCAGAACTGAGGGAAGTTTCAGGTCTTCTTGAAAGAAAGAAACCAGAAGAGCTTGCATCAAAGGTGAGCATTAGAATACAAATTGTATGTGCAGTGTCTCTGGACTTACTTCTGCACAACACTGGTGTGACTGATTAAACTTTTCTTCTTTCTTTTCTTTTATCTAGATACTTTTTAATGTTACGTTCTGGCTTTTGCTGAGACAACATCTTACTGAGCAAAAACAGTTACAGGTAAAAGAAGCGACTTTATCAGAAATCAAAGTTGGAAGCCAAGACAAAGGTAAGAAAAGGCTGGCATTCATTTAGGTAAATATTACATTTTAAATGCTTCAGTAATAATTGATTGTTGTTTCCATGCTATTTTAGAAGATGAAGTCCAAAAAAGTGAAGAGAAGAAGAAGAAGAAGAAGTAGTTGATGAAAATGACATCATGAAGGTGCTAGGAAACATGGTGATGGCAATGTTTGTTAAGTACTGGATTTACGTTTGTGGAGGAATGTTCTTCTTTGTGAGTTTTGAAGGAAAAATTGTCATGTACAAAATCATCTACATGATGCTCTTCCTTTTCTGTGTGGCATTGTATCAGGTATGTGTACCATGCTTGTTGCTTATTATTGACCTCTGTAGTAAAGAATTTACTACAATATGTTTATGTTTCAGTTTTCTTAAAAATAGCATCAGACGAGGAGATTTCCCCAAGTTTCTATCTTCCATGGTGAAGAGTGCAGGTTCAAAAGTATTACATACAGTATCACACAGAAGTGAGTACATCCCTCACATTTTTGTAAATATTTTATATCTTTTCATGGGACAACACTGAAGAAATGACACTTTGCTACAATGTAAAGTAGTGAGTGTGCAGCTTGTATAACAGTGTAAATCTGCTGTCCCCTCAAAATAACTCAACACACAGCCATTAGTGTCTAAACCGCTGGCAACAAAAGTGAGTACACCCCCTAAGTGAAAATGTCCAAATTGGGCCCAAAGTTTCAATATTTTGTGTGGCCACCATTATTTTCCAGCACTGCCTTAACCCTCTTGGGCGTGGAGTTCACCAGAGCTTCACAGGTTGCCACTGGAGTCCTCTTCCACTCCTTCATGACGACATCACAGAGCTGGTGGATGTTAAGAGACCTTGCGCTCCTCCACCTTCCGTTTGAGGATGCCCCACAGATGGGGTTTAGGTATGGAAACTTACACTGTTATACAAGCTGTACATGCGCTACTTTACATTGTAGAAAAGTGTCATTTCTTCAGTGTTGTCACATGAAAAGATATAATAAAATATTTACAAAAATGTTAGGGGTGTACTCACGTCTGTGAGATACTGTATGCGTTGTTAACAGCTTTGTGTGAGACTTGTGATGGGTCCATCCATTGATGGGAAGGTATGTCCTCACCTGCTGTTCTTGGGAATGTACTGTAGGTGCAGGAGAAGAATAACCTTACAGTGGCATTTATAACAAAAACTAAAAACACTAGCTAGAGATTTTAGCTAAAGCAGACAACATACTGCAAAATTAATTTTGCAGTATGTTGTCTGCAGAACTCCAGGTAAACAACTAAATACGATGCAAAAATGCAAATATGTATACTTCTCAACCTGACCAAGAGTTTGTAGTTTTTTCTCAGCCAATCGTGTGAATAAAGCTCCATTCACATGGGGTGATTAGCTGTGTGCCCTGTGCAGGGCTGTCTTTTACCGTCACGGGGATGCACAAGTGTTGCATGCATCCCTATGCCAAACGTCCCATAGATGTCTTTTGGAACACGTGACCGCACAGACACAAACAATTGCTATTTTCTACAAGATTGATCGGCCAGGAATTTGGCTGTTGGTGCAAAAAAAAAAAAAAATCCATGGGTGGATCAGGCAATAATATTCCCATGTCTATGCTGACAACAATAGCATAACATTTTTCCTTCTTCCTTTTTGTTGTGATGCTTTCTTTCTGTTGCCAACTACTAGCTAAAATATATAAGTATAATATAGTTTGTGAATGTGATACACTTAACTGTGCATCCCACATACTAGGATTAAAATTTTACATTTATTTTATTCCATTACAAACATTGTTATTATTATACAGGATTTATATAGCGCCAACAGTTTGCTCAGCGCTTTACTATTGTAAAGGGAGACAATACAGCGACAATACAGTTCAAGAGGGTTAGGAGGGCCTGCTCCTTGGAGCAAGCATATTGTTGAAACAATCCCCAGCCTATATCCTGCAGAGAGTAAAGTTCCTTCCGTTATCTCTCCTGTTTATTCCCTGCAGGATATAGGTTTGGGATAGTTTCAGTAATAATATTTTTAGGGAATAGAAAAAAAGTGAAAGTTTAGTCCTAATGGGTGGGATGCTTGGTGATTTAAATGAACCACCTGTGCAAATGATGTTATTGTAAATTCCCCATGAAAGGAACATATCATTAATTATAATATAGCTTTCAGGCTATTATATGATTGATTGATTTTGAAATAGATAATTGTCACATAGGTAGGTTGGAAATTATTTTTTATTAGAATTTGTCATATGTAAAACAGAACACACAATGGTTGATTTACTAAAACTGGAGAGTGCAGAATCTGGTGCAGCTCTACATAGAAACCAATCAGCTTCCATTTTTTTTTGTCAAAGCTCAATTAAACAAACTGAAGTTAGAATCTGATTGGCTACCATGCACAGCTGTGCCAGATTTTGCACTCTAGCTTTAGTAAATCAACCCCTCATTTGACAAATACCATGTTGGCAAAAGATAAATACATGCAGATTCCAATGCCTGATAACATAGTAGAAGGCTAGGGTGCCTGGGCACCCTGGTTGAGAAAGGCTGCTCTAGATTGTTCCAATGTTTTAAAGAAAGTGGGAAATCCATAATAATTTTACACTTTAATTTAAAATAGAACTATTGGCAAAATTTTTTTTTTATTTTGGATAGTGTCCCATTGCGGAGATTTCCCTTCCCTTCCAGTCCCATAGCCAAAACAGGAACTGAGAGAAAATCCCTGCAAATTAGGGGAATTCCTTGGGGACCCCCAAGTCACCAGAACTAGTGTCCCTATTGGAAAATTTCTCCTGTACCACTTTTCTGGGGACAACCTAAAATATGGGATTTTCTTTTACTTTAAATAATAATAGTAAACAGGACAAATAGAGAGGGTGATCTCCCCTATGGGGGGCACAGACAACAATAAAAACTAACATTCTACTCCTAGATTGTAAGCTCGAAAGAGCAGGGCCCTCGATCCCCTCATGTTTTGCATTGTATTGGTATTGTTCTGTCACATGTTCTGTCCCCCTCTGTAATGTACAGTGCTGAGCGAACTATTGGCGCTTTATAAATACTGTATAATAATAATAATATAATAATCCCTCTCCACTCTATACAAAACTAAAAAACAAGTCATAGATTTCCTGTTAATTGTTGTCAATGTCTAATTTTGCTCTATAAACCTAGCCACTGATTCCAGCTTAAATAAATGTTACTAATATTTACTTATGCTAAAATGTTTACATTGTATTGATTCTCATGTTTGTAATCTTAGGTTCACTACGAATGGTGGAGGCGAATTTTGAAATATTTCTGGATGTCTGTGGTAGTTTACACCATGTTGGTGCTTATCTTAATTTATACATACCAGTTTAAAGCCTTCCCACCAATTTGGATGAACATGACAGGATTAAATAAAGAGAAGTATGTATGGCATCTGGGTATATGTTTGCACTTTTTACTATGCACATTTGAAAACAATATACTGTATACGACTGCAAAACAAATTAATTTGTGCAAGATCCACTTTCAAAGATATATATATATATATATATATATATATATATATATATATAGCTTTTTTCTCTTGTAGTTTTTTTTTTATAAACGTGTTATTTTTGTCTCAAAAGCTGTGTTACTTTAAAATGCTACTGAATGCATTTAAATATTTTTGTAACAAGTATTTTTGTTGTGAATCAATTTGTGTATCAGTTTAATGCACTGAAATATTTAAATCTAATTAATAATAGCATGAGCCTTTAAAGCATGCATTTTCTATCTTTGCTCACCAGTCTCCCTAATAAATGTAATTTTAACTTCAAACATACTGCTTATTGTGGTTATAAAGGCTCGATTTTTTTTTCTTTAAAATAATAACCACATCATACTTATCTGCTCTGGTTTTGCACAGAGCAGCCCTGATCTTTCTCTTCTTGGGTCCCAGGCTGGAGCTTCTGGCTACTTCCCCCTTGCTAAGTGCCCCCCAGAGCAACCTACTTTCTCTGTGGGCACTTGTGTGTGCTCGCTCCCAAGCTGCCTCTGTGTGTCTATGGGCTGTATCTCAGCCAATGAGGAGAAAGACCTGGGAGAAACGTTGCTCTTGTGCACATCGCTAGATCAAGCTCAGGTAAGTATTAAGGGGGGGCTGAGGGGGGAGCTGCACACTGAAGGTTTTTTACCTTCAGTGCTGATTCACACATGTGCGGTGCGGATTGAAGCTCAGGTTTCACAGCTAATTGATACAGTAGTTGTTTAGCGGTTCAGGTGAGGTTTACATCAGGTTCAGGACAGGTTTAAATGAGGTTCAGGTCAGGATTTAATCTTGTTCACAACTGATGGCATGTGCATTTTAGAAACGGTTCCCATACAACTCAATAGCCTGTAATCCACATCCGAACCGGACCGCATTGCTCAGAAACTGGACATGACTTTTTCAATCTGCACTGAATCTGCACTGCCAGTGCAACGGACATATGTGACCGGGCACCATAGGAAGCAATGTTATATCACATGTCATGCAGATTGGATGCAATTCAAACTGCATCTAATCCACATATATATGTAAACCAACACTCATGCAAACTTCAGCCTTTACAACCACTTTAACCACTTGCCTATCAGTCACTTTTACCCCCTTCCTGCCCAGGCCAATTTTCAGCTTTCAGCGCTGTCGCACTTTGACTGACAACACTGTACCCATATAATTTTTTTCACACAAACAGAGCTTTCTTTTGGTGGTATTTAATCACCACTGGGTTTTTTTAAATGAAAAAAAAAGACCGAAAATGTAAAAAAAAAAAAACTTTTTCTTTGTTTTTATTATAACATTTTGTAAACCAATTGATTTTATACACCTGTGGCCATGGAGTGATTGGAACATCTGAATCCAATGATTTGGAGGGGTGTCCCAATACTTTTGGCAATATAGTGTACACGTGTAGGAGAGATATACTGAATATTTTATTTTTTATTTTTGCCCAGACACAAATGTCTTAAAGTTGTAGTCCAGCCTTGCCGTCAATCTTGTACAGTCGTACAGGTTCTTCTCTTGTACTGGAATTGCTTACTCTGTTGCTCCTTTCATTCATTGGATTTCAATTATTTCAGTCATGGAGGATCAGCATCACATGGG